CCCGGGACTAAAATGAATTATGATTAACATAGGTAAGTTTTTTTTTTTTTTTTAAGGGGGGAAAATCATCGAATGACTGCCCCCGCCTGGGTGAGGCGGGAGGGAGTGTCAGACTCTTACTGACTAAAAACCACCCCGTTCCTTCTCCTGCACGTCGAGCCGGAGCCCCGGTTACCCGTTAGGTTCTCCGCGACTCCGAATCGGCATCGGCCCTATTGGGCCCCATCTGTGGTGGTCTGATGGCTCTTTGAGGCGCGCGCGGAACGCGACGCGCCGTACGCTCGGGTCTGTTTCTGGTCGGACGGGGAGCCACCCATGCTCGCCGTCCGCAGGCCCGCGCTTACGGTGGCCGGAGATCGTCCCGCGACATAGGTAAGTTTAAGTATGGAGTTTCTTGCTCGTTCTTCTCCACTCGAATCTACATTTTGGAATGAGTACCTAGCTTCACCTAATTTCACTGACGGACTGACTGACAGACTATTATTTATTTTGTATTTGTTGACGTTTCAAAAGTACCCAACGATGGTTTCATTGAAATAAATGCTTTGACTTTGACTTTGTAATTGTAGGATTTTGGGGAGTTATTATATTATACAAATGTCGGTGATATCAGTAGGCTGCGCGACATCGCCGCGACCGCGCACGCTGCTCATGAGGAAAAACTCCTCTCTGGCTCAAAACTAGTAGAGCTTCTCTCAATATTTTCACGTGAGTAACCCGCGATTTTAGTAAAAAACAGTACTTTTTAACCGACTTCAAAAAAAGGAGGAGGTTCTCAATTCGACCGTATATATGTTTTTTCAAAAACTAAGTCGTGTCGGGTCCACTAGTAAATATATGTTGAACTAGCTACTTCCGCGCGGTTTCACACGCTCTGCTCAGCTCCTATTGGTCGTAGCGTGATGTTTTATAGCCTATAGCCATCCTCGATAATGTTATCCAACACAAAAATAATGATTCAAATCAGACTTGTAGTTACGCGTTCAAACAAACGAATAAAAAACAAACTCTTCCGCTTTATATAATAGTACTAGCGACCCGCCCCGGCTTCGCACGGGTGCAATATGCATGCATTATACATATAAACCTTCCTTAAGAATCACTCCTTCTATTAAAAAAACCCATAGCTGCGCCATCTATTGATTACTAACTCAACCCAGTCGACAGGTATCGACATCTGTTAGAATCATTTGGAGTTAACAGATAATTGTGACTGTCAAATAATTACAGACAAATAATTAGCAATAAATTAAAATTGCGACTATAATTTGAGATTTGAACTATCCTATCTCTCAAGTTGGATCGAACTGCACATGGTGTGCGAATTTTATTATAATCGGTTAAGTGGTTTAGGAGTCCATTGAGGACAAACATTGTGACAGGAGATTTATATATATTAAGATAAAATACGTACGCGCGACTGTTAATGAAGCGAAAGAGGTATGTAAGAATCGTAGTAATTGGCGTTCCTTAGTCTCTGCCTACCTCCATGGGAGACAGGCGTGAAGTTATGTATGTATGTATGTACGTACGCGCTAACAATGTCCTTGTGGAGCAGTACGGCGCTGACGGCGCACCACCGCGCCGCCCACCGCCACACGAGCGCGTGCACCGAGTCCGCGACACGGAGCAGCCCGTGCAGCGCGAGGTTATCGCCAAACCTATAAGAAACATATAATTTTTTTTTTTTTTTAAACGTTGCCCCACACTAAGATTATCTCTTGTGTCGTGGGTGCGTTTACAAACATACAAGTTCACATACACATGACACCCAGACCCGAAACAACAATTTGTGGATCGCACAAAGTGTTGTTCCGTGCGGGAATCGAACCCGCGACACGTTGCACGGCAGCCGGTTGCCCAGCCACCGCACCAACCGTGCAGTCA